CTTCAGGTATACCAAATGTGAATCCCTGCAATTTGATTTACCTGAAAATTAATTCTTAACAAAAGCTTAAAAAACTAATCAAAGTACTTTATGTTCTTCAGTTTCCTGTTCATTCAAATTCTCTACTTCAGTACATAACACACAAAATTACCAACACACTTCCTGTTATTTTGTAAGTTTCAAGTGACTCGAATAAGTTCATTCACTATTTCACTAAATAACATTACTAAAAGAAGCACATTTTAATATTGGCCAATAAAGAAAAGAAACATATTTTCCAAAGTTAGTATGTCATTACTTAGATATTATGTCTCCAAATAGTTCTACAACTAATATCAATATTTTTTTTATACAAAGTCAATAGACAATCCTCATTTAATGTCAGAAGGGAAAGGTTTACTCCAAACTGGTAACACCTATTTTCCAAATGTATTCCTTGAAACAGTGAATACCTCATTAACATTGAAATTCATTTACTGTGGACACAAATATACTGTTGAAAATTTAACCACATTGCAGATATCAAACTGAATCATCAAAAATTATTTCTCCTTTTACTACAATAATACACACTATATCAAAAGAAGTTTCATATAGTAACTGAAAACTATCATCAGGTCTGTGTTTTATTTCAAGAACCAATTCTATCTGTATAATGAATTATTTTTGAGGAAAATGATAATATTTGATTTGTACTTCCTGTAACGTAGTAGTTACAAGATTGGGCAAATAAGTTTCCAAACTCATTTTTAATTTTGCACTGGGTGATCTGGCAAAGCTGTTACTTGGAATGTTAGGTGATGCACAAGACATAGCTCACATGGAAAGTCTGGATACGCTGCATTCAGTATTCATTGAACAGTAGCTCATTAGATCACTGTGTGTCATTATCTTTGTTCAGACGTGACAATGGAGTGTATGATGGAACACATAGTGAATCTGAAATGTTGTGTTAAACTGCAGAAATGGCCAAGTGAAATGTTAGAGATGTTACAAACAGTTGATGATGAATCTACTATGAGCAAGAGTAATGTTTTTAAGTGGCACAAACATTTCAGAGAAGGCAGAGAAAATATGAATGTCAAAGGTGATGTGTTCCCATAACAAAGTGAACAGATGAAAGTGCTGCAAAAATCAGGGAACTTGTGCAATCTGATTGACAGTTAACTTGCAGGATGACAGCCGATGAGTTCAATATGAGCAAAGATACTGTTAGGAATATTTTAGTACAGGACCTTGGCATGAAAAGTTAGAAGTGAAGCTTCTGCTGTGAAACTTGCCAAATGAACAAAAGGACTTTGTGCATGGACTTTGCGGAATGACTTCAAGATGATTTTTTGAATCATGTCATCACTGGTGATGAAATATGGTGTTATCAGTATGATCCCAAGACAAAATGCTAGACCATTTCCCAGGCCAAAGAAGCCACAGATGTCAAAGTCCAAGATCAAAACAATGTTAATCTGCTTTTTTGATATCAGGGGTTATGATCCACTTTGAATTTCTATCCGAAGGGACCACCACATTCTACATGGAGGTGCTGAAAAGGCTTACTGATGCCGTAAGGCACAAGTGAAGAAAGTTGTGGAGAGACAACTCATTGAGTCTTCACCATAACAATGTACTGCCACATTCTTTGCTTTGAGTGTTGCAGTTTTTAAGAGAAAAAGGCATTTCCACTCTGGATCATATGCCATACTCTCCTGACTTGGCTTCAGCTGACTTCTGGCTGTTTCCAGAACTCAAGAGTATGCTAAAAGGAAAGCATTTCTTGGATGCTGAGGACATTAAATTATATGTGAAAAAGAATTTGACATACATTCCTGTTCAGGCCTTTAAAAACTATTTTGAACAATGGCCGAAGTACTGGGAACATTGTAAAGAATTGCAGAGAGATTACTTTGGAAAATTCTAGGTTGCTAATATTTGCAACTCTTAAAATAAATTAAAAAAATAGTCTCAAAACTTATTTGCCCAGCCTTGTATACTGGACCAATACAAATCGAAATTAAATCCGCAAAACAACTTTTGGCACAGAACCCAAATATCACATTACACTAAAATTCAATGGCAGTTTCAGAGAGGTAAAATGCCCACATGACCTCCCCATTATCCATTACGCATTCATTACTGGACTTTGCGTGATGCATGTGTACAAATTATGTAAGTACTGAAGTATTGGTGCCCAGAACAGAATTTTAGACCCAGATGCACAGATAAAACTGAAAAGTCAGCAAGAACAATGTTGGTTCATGTGTGTAAATGCATTTTGGGACCTGTTGTCACAATTTTGAAGTTATTAATTTTAGACCTAAAATCTCTACATACCATACACAGTCTAAACTTAGGAGCACATAAAAGGAGACTAACAAAATGAAAGTCAGTACACATCTGTGAAACAAAAGCAGGTCCAAAAATAGATTCAGTATGACAATGACTGCAGTTCTGATATTTGTGACAATAATCCTCCAAAGAATGCATTACTTTCATTGAACTGCTACCATTTCACTATTACTTAAGCTCTCATCATACCTAGTGCAGCAGAAGAATGTAATACAGTTATTGTCACTTGCTCTGTTTAACATAGAATAAGATAGTATTAAGACATGGTACTGAAATTAACTGCTCTGATAGCATCAGGACATAATGAATTTAAATGGCATAGTAAAGCACTGTGATAAATACATGAAAACTGATAAGGAAGACTAATGTATTCATTGTGAGTTGTATACAACAACCACCAAGCACTGAACAATAATGGAAATGCCCCACCCTGGTGAGAGGGTATTTCCAGTTCAGAGAAAGGGGAGCGAGAAAATGTGTACAACTGTACCCTATTTATCTATTCCAGGACAAAATGTAAGAACTGACAGTGAAGTATAATTCAAGCCAGTATTATAGCCTCTTCCTTTTACTAGAAGGTCAAATTCTTCTGTGAATGGGCATGGAGAGGGACCATGAGGGCAAAATTCATACAAATGACATGGTTCTGACATCTAGACAAATGTTTTCCACTTGTTTTCTTAAAATAATATCATAATGTCACTATGTTAGGTCCCCTGTGACATGAATAAAGATCTTATGATAGAAATCGGTGTACACTTAAAGGAGTAGGACATCTCCTGTTCAGTCACAAATGCCAGGTGCCTGATTTTTATTTGAACATTAGCACTAATGTAGTTTACAAAGACAGATAATAAATGAAAAGATAGTAAATGAGAATATGAAGAGGTCAAACAGCAACGTGAAACAAGAGAAGACAATAAATTAACTTCATGAATACCATACAACAGAATTTATAGAAAGATGTAAATAATCTTTAAACCATATCAGTATGAGACAGAATAATGTTACAGAAGCACACAACATTCGTAATAATAACCATTTCCAGAAAGACAATAAGAGGAACTGCTATGATTACAGAATAATTAATTACAACATATAGAATACACATTCCCCTTTCTTTGGCATTACAACATACTTTGGACTACAGCATCCACACCACTGCAGAGGTTTGGACGGAGTATCAGAAACACTGCAAGGCCTCTACCACTACAGGATAACAAAGAAAAGTGCAGACAAACATACATGCCTCAAGCAGGTTTTGAATCCACCCAAGTCTGAATGGCCCAAGAACATATACACCTCAGAGAGCATGACCACTGAAATTAGTATACAAGGTTGGATTTAATTTAAAAGACAAAGTTTTGCTACTAACAGAATAATTCCAGAAGACCATAAATGGATATATGAACAGCTCCCATTGTTTATAATGGAGATAATGTAACCTATGAATATACACTGAAGTTACTGCTTAAGGACTAGCAGAAAGGGGTACTTAATGAATTTGATTTCCCATATGAAACTTATTAAATGAAGGGTTTGATCCCGGGTCTGGTCAAGTGGGATTTGTGGTGGACAAAGTGGACCTGGGGCAGGTTTTCTTCGAGTACTTCGGTTTACCCTGCCAATCTTCATTCCACCAACTGCTCCACAATCACCCTCACCTATCATCTGGGGCTGGTACAATAGGCCAGAAGTGGCCGCAGTACAAAGGACTTAGTCCCACCCCACTAGAAATAATGATAAACAAAATAATATTAAAGCAGAAGACAAGTTATATGTATAACAGAACATCAGAACACCCAAAGGTCTTTTCAAAGGGCACAATTTGTCTCCAATTCTGCCAATATGCATAAAAAAAAGGTAAAGCTATCCCTATAACAGGCCATGAAGGCCCATAGGGTTGACATCAAGGCTCCCACATTTTCTCTACACAACTGGCTCACAGATGGCGGTAAGGTTGTCAGCCTTACGTGCCGGCTGCCCTGTATACCCCCCCAGGAAGATTTCTGATACTCATTTTTGTTAGAGGCTGAGTTGACACCAGGGCCATAGTGCAGCTGGAAGGGTTAGGTAAATTGAAAAAAATATCCACCTCATTGTGACCTTCCAGCTTGTAGCATAATGCCTCAACCAACTATGCTAACGTGTGCCCTGCCAATTTGCATATGGAGAATGTAATCAAGATGGGCATTAAAAGCACAACATTTTTTACATGTAGATGGTTGTAGAAACAGAAGAATTTTTCATTTATTTCAATTAACAATGAAACACTCTGATATACATGTCTGTTCATAAAACAAAACAAGGAACATTACCATACATACATTGACATAAGATCACAACAGGCCACTAAGCCTAAACACAAAGCTGATGGTGATGATTTATGACTAATGTAAAAAGTGACAGTTATAAGTTACCTTATAAAATATCAGCTGCAGAAGGGATTCAGCACCAAAGAATATACAAGATGGATTACACATGATACAATGGGATATGAAGGGACAAGGCTGGAAACTACATGGTACTATGCTGGCATTCACCTGGAAGGATCAAGAAAAATGGTGGAAAACCTATGTATAAATAGTCTTTTAGGGTGAAGCTAAACTAGGTACCTCCAAAAAAAAAAAAAAAAAAAAAAAAAAAATTCNGGCTCAAGTACACAGCACTTTGACAACTAAAGGTCCAAAAGATGCATAACACCTGTCCATATTTCATTTTATAACAATATTCATAATGAAATTACAATAGTTTTGTTGTACATGAAAGATGGGTATGTTACTTTAACGTTAATCGGCACTGGCCCTGCAACACTAATCTAAAGCAATTTATCTCAAACAAAAATCGGAAAAGTTTTCACATAGCATCATCATCTTTAAATTTTAATGGAAAACACATTCATCAGCAATGTTAACTACAAGTGGAAAACAACTAGCATCATTTCACACTAGCTGAACATACCTTGGCTTACAAGTTACATGCAAATTCAGTTCTACATGTACATATGAAGTAAACTGAAATGTTAGAAATAAATAATAATGGTTTCATTATCAACTAAGCTGATAATCTATAGCATATATACAAGAACATTAAATCTTTTAAAAAAAGTCTTTGTCATGAAATTAATATATATGTATTTACTGCATTAAATTTGTTCTAGCTCCTGGCTGAGATTTCATCTTTTTGATTATGAGATTTAATCCATTTATAAAATACATTATATGTCTTCCATTCTCAAGCGTTTTGAAAGTCTACATATATACTTATATTTATATACATATTTACCTCGTTACTTCGAATATAAGACACCCATGAATATAAGACCCATCCAGTTTTTGAATGTTGGTTCTATGAAAAAATTTGAAAGGTGTACATTCCTGGAATTTAGACACACATCAATTTTTTGGATGGAAAAAAATGTGTAAAATGTGCCTCATATTCAAAGTAATACAGTATTTATACAATTACAAATTACTTAAGAAAGCATGTTATTCTGGGCATATGTTAAAATAATATGATCTCACAGACTTGAATATTCACCAGCATATTGCTCAATGCAGTCACCAGATAAAACTTCACTCTCATAAAAACGGATTACTGGAATGCCCAGTTGAAGCAGGACTAGCACCAAGCTGAAAGCATCACAAGCATACAATTAACCCTCCGATTTGTGAAGTTTCTTGCCATCTGTTGCATCCTCTGTTATGAGTTTGTTATTTAATGATGCAGCCAGTAACAAAACTACATAACTACATAATGACAGGATGATTAATGAATATGGAGCAATTGGTGGAATGACAACTGGCAGGGGAGCCAAAGTACTTGGGAGAAATCCTACCCCAGTACCACTTTGTCTACCACAGATCCCACATGACCTAGCCTGGGATTAACCCAGGCTACCACGGTGGGAAGCCAGCGACTAACTGCCTGTACATTCTCTGGATTGAGGTTTTTCACACCTGTACAGATTCAATATACTTAATTGCACATGGTCGAAATGCATCATAATCACTAGCTTCTTATCATATTCAAAATTTCTAAGAAATTAACATCAGAAGCATGATTCGTGCATTTCCTTCCTGCTCATGTGATCGTGGTGAGTAAGTAGAAGTTTCAAAACTACGTTTGTGCGAGAGAATTCAATTCTAGGGCAACAAAATTAGTATCTTCCCGAAACCAGACAAAATTCCATATCTAATCAAAACTTGAGTCACAGAATTCAATTAGTTATATGTCAAATACAGTAAAAAGTAAAGTAAAGTAAAGGTATCCCTGTAACAGGCCATGGAGGCCCATAGGGTTGTGAGATGTTGAGGTTTCCACATTTTCTAGACAATCAGCTCATGGATGGCGGTAAGGCTGTCAGCCTTATGCGCCAGCTGCCCTTTACCCCCAGGAAGATTCCTGGTACTCATTTCTGTCAGAGGCTGAGTCGACCCCAGGGCCACAGTGCAGCTGGAAGGATTAGGTTAACTGAAAGAATCCACTGATACCGCCTGATGTTAAATACAGTACATATTGAAAGGATGTAATCCTTCTATCACACACATTCCTTCCACAGTCAAAAATGACACATCACCCTCCTGAGCTTTATTTACATACCTCTTGAAAATGCAAATAATTTCATCTAAATCCTCACAGCTAGCAACATGATGAACTCTGACAAAGGGTGAAACTTCTCAGAAACTTGGTCCATAGTATTGGTATTTCCTTCAGGAAAAACAGCTCCTCCTATTGCATTTATTTCTAACAATGCTAGCAACTTCTTTATTTTATCCTTGTCTGCATCATGCCAGTGACTGATTCTAAATCATCACAACTGCTGTGAAAGTTTTAAATGAGGCACAGTGATATAATACAACTTACATGGTTCTGTATAGCAGTGTACCGCTAGACAACTAACACTGGATGAATACACAGAAAGGTATATTCTCTTAACCACTCAATAAAGCCTTTGTATTTTGCTTGGAAGGAACTGTACGCTGTGCATTATTTACACTCACCACAAATGGATTCCCTGCTGGGTTTGTATGCCATGTCTTGGCTGGGAAATTCATGGACTGACTAGTTGGGAAAGCTGTTGCTGCTGTGGTTGCAGGTGGGTGAAATGTTGGAAGACCTCCATTGAGAACTTGCCCATTGGGCATTCCACTGATGCCCACACCCCCCCATCCAAAAGATCCTGACTCTGCAAATACAAATACAAATAAAAAGAAAGGAGTAATATATACATATTTATGATTAATAAACACATGACAAAGTGTCAACAAAAAATAACTAAGGGCAAGTAACTAATGATTTAATTATTAGCCAACTAAACCCACCATAGTTTCAAAGGTCCAAAGGGCAAAAGTCCACTACTTCCTGAATCCAGTTCACATTACAAATCCAACATTTTATCCTATTACTTAACTAAGTTTTATTTTATATTTTTTAATGTTAAGAAATATACGAGGGCTATTTGGAAAGTACCCTCCGTTTATTTTAGGCAATTAATGAATGAGTGGGGGAGAGCTCACACATGCAAGGTATAACATATGACTCATTGCCTTGTAAGCTACAGAGTGTGTCCAGGTTCTGTTAGGACTGTGTTCACTAAAAATACAAGACGTGAATTATTTTCAAAATTTCAATCTTTTTATTCAAAATAATCTCTTTCTGAATCAATACATAGCTAGAATCGATTGAAAAGTTTCAAAAAACAGTCGCTGTACTCCTTTTGTGGAATCACATTTAAAACTGCGGCGGATTCCCTTTGGATGTCCTGGATGGCATCGTGACAGTCTCCTTTCATGGCCAACTTAACTTTTGGGAACAACAAGAAATCTGCTGGAGCCAAATATGGCGAATATAGAGGATAATCAAGGACTGTGATCCATTTTCTGGCCAAAGAATCACGCATGATCTTCGATTTGTGGGGTGGGGCATTGTCGTGGAAGAGCAACCAGGAGCCTTGCTCTTGATATTCAGGTTGAATTTGAAGATTCTCGCCCGCAAACGATTGAGGACTCTCGAGATAATAATCAGAATTCACTGTTTGACCTTCTCACACAAATTCCTTTGGAATTGAAGAAAACGGTTAGCAGTGTCTTTACTCGAGTCTTTTGCATGCACACCTTCTTTGGTTTTGGGTTCTTTGGGCTCAACCACGCTGCACTCTGCCGCTTTCTAGAGGCTCATATTGAAAACACCATGTCTCGTCACCAGTAACAATCGATTTTGTAAATTTTGTATCACTTTGGGCCAATCATAACATGTCTTTGCAGTGTGCCACTCTGGCATATTTTTCATCGCCTGACAGCACGTGCGGTACAAACCACGCACAGACCTTCCATTTGCCCAAATCCTCGGTCAAAAATTGATGCACAGTACTTTTTGATATTGCCAAAAGCTCCTCGATGAGTCTTGCGGAAACACATCTGTCTCATGCAAGGATTTCAGTAACTTTTTTCACATGTTCTTCAGTGCGACTTGTTCTCGGCTTTGATGCACATGGAGCATCTTAAATGTCTTCCTTGCCATCATGAAATACAGCATCATCATCATCATCATCATCATCAGTAATCTGTCAAGATGACAGGTCCACAGTCTCTTTCAAAACAATTCCTCCACTTAATGCGATCTAGAGCTTTCTCCTTCAAATGACAGTATCCTCTTCTGTCCCCAAGGTCATCCAGCATCTTCTTACGTCTTCTTCCTCGTCTTCTTGTCACTTCTATCCGCCCATCTATCTTTCCTTCGATAGCTTCTTTTAGAAGGCAGTTTCTGCGTAAAACATGACCAATCCAATTAGCCTTCCGTTTTCTT